CGCTTGGGTTTCCAAGCCAACATGGCGGCTTCACGGTTTTGGAATATCGCAGAAAACTCGTCACGGGCGGGCGCACTGCCCATGACATATCACATGCGCAAGAAGCTCCATTAATTTTGAAGTCAGATCGGTCACCGCTGCGGGCTCACATTAGTTCCCAGGCCAACATGGAGACTTTTCGATTGCGGGCGAAACAGAACCTCCTCACGGGCGGACGCGACGCGCGCGCGCGCCCGCGCGCGGGGTCGGCGGATAACATGCGCAAGCAGCGAAGTTAATTTAGAAGTCCGGTCGGCCACCGCTAAGGGTTCACTTCAGTTTCCAAGCTAACATGGCGACTTTTCGATTGTGGTTAATACAGGGCCCCCTCAGGGGCGGCGGGGGGGGCGGGGCGCGCGCGCGTGCCTGCGGGGTGCTGCCAGCGACAGAGAACATGCGCAATAAGCCATGTCAACTTGGAGTCCGATCGGTCACCGCTGCGGGGGCACTGTCAGTTTCCAAGCCAACATGGCGAGTTTTCGATTGTGGACGCTGCAGCAACTCCTCTCGCGCGCGCCCCCGCAAGGAGCGATGGGGGCCCGAGACATGAGCTGGGCCTTAACGCGACCACCGTTTCATTATAATGCAACGGCGGTCGCGCCCGACATATATGTCGCGCCTGGCCTCGCTGGCCCGACATATACGTCGGGCCAGCGAGCCCCGAACCGCGCGGCATAAGGAGCGGAGGGTGCCCCAGCGAGGGACTGGGCCTCAATGCTCCTACTTTGGCACGCGGGCGAAAACTCCAGCGCGCGCCCCGCAAGGAGCGGGGGGGCCCGAGAGAGGCGCCTGGCTTGCGCGCGACCGCCGTCGCACTACGTCGAGCAAGCGCAAGGAATTCGGTGGAACCACGAAACGCGTAATGGGGCGTTCCGAATTAGGTGGCGGGGGCGCACGCGAACGCTCGCAGCGGGGCCTTTGGCGGGGCCCAGCACGGGGCAACTCAAGGCGTGAGCGGTGTGCCGAGATGCGTGGCGGAGACGCCGGCGAACGTTGCCACTCTCGCGGCATTCGGGCGATGATGATGACGACGGTGATGGTGATGGCGATGGCGATGTGATGAGGCAAGGCCGACTCCATGTCCACGCAACGTTGGCCCGGGCCCTGGGAAAGCCGAGCGGGCAGAGCTCGGGCATTCCGCCCCGCGGCGGCGGAACCTTTCCCAGGCGTGGGCCGGGGAGGCAAGGCGGCCCAAGAGGCCTAACCCAAGACGGCCCGATGCGGCCTAACCCAAGACGGCCCAAGTTGCCGAAAGAAAAACAGCCCAACATGTGCGTTGCTGCTCTCGCCGCGGGTTGGCGAGTGGCGCTGTGCATGGTGATGCTCGATGCCGCAATCTGCAATGCCCTGCCTCGCAATGGGGTTTAATTGTTTCCCTGCAGCGAAGGCTCATCCAGAACCTCTTGGCTGATGTTTCGGTGATTCTGGGCCGTCTTGGGCCGTCTGAAAGGATTTCGGGGCCCCGACCTAGATCCAGGCGCAGTTTCTCCAGCATGGGGGGCCCGTGCGGGTTGCGCCACTGGGGCCTTCGGCGGACCTCCGCAAGTTTCTCGGGCAGGCGGGCGGCGATGAGCCATGGAATGTTGAGGTTCGACACTTGGTTGTCAAGTTTTGCATAGTCAGCAAAGAGGCGTACTGGTATGCACCGATCTGGCCCGTATGTCTTAACGACTGCATGCTGGTAAAAATTGCTGCAGCAGAGCGATGGGTCGGACTTGTGTCTGAGAAAAGAGTCGGGGTCCGATTCAAATTGGCGGCTCATGACCTCGTGCAACGGCACGAAAGGAATCTCTTCCAACTTCGACCGTCTTGCTTTCGACGCCCGTAGAGGAACACATATATACTCAAGCAGCTCGCGCTTGACATCATCAGTCCCAACCACACTGTCAATAGCTCTCGCACTGTTTTTGGAGTGAACCAGGTCTTTCGAGAACTTCTCAACCCCACGGCCGCCAGCCAGTGTAATCAAACGGCACAATCTCACCAACCTTGACAAACATATCCTCCCCCGATTCCTCCCTCGTTCCTCCTCTCTCCTCGTTCCTCCTCTCTCCACCTCATCCTCTAGTTATTCCTCTCCTCCTCGCTAGTGCTCCTTGAGCGTATAGCCACCTGTGCGACGTCATAGCGCCACTGAAAAACAGCGACAGCAGCATGTTGCGGAGATCCCTGCCAGGGTCATTGGAACCAGTGGTCCCCGCGGCCACCGCGGCCCGGGCGCTGCTTCTCCATGATTCGATCCCCTTGCGACCGAGAAGCCCAATGGAGCGGCTGGCGAGCTTGGCGCGCGCGTGGCGCCTGACGGCTGCCAAGTCGGACTTGCTTGCCATGGCGACTGATCGCCACAAAAACTTGGGCCGAGCGCTACTTTGGGGCTTCTTAGTTTTGTGGGTCTGGGGCCTGCAGTGGACCTCTGGGGGGCCCTTGGGGTTTCTCGGGAGCTGCAGCGGCGGGGGCTGGGCCCCCGCCGCCCAGCCCTCATGTGGGGCTGCAGCGGCAGGGGCGCCAGGCGCTAGTGTGTTTGTTAGGGGAGTGAGGTCGAGAGATCCAGGGGCCTGAGATTCAAAAGTGCCGAGTCGTCGGATGTCCGGATGTCCTGAGCATTCGCGCGGCTCCTTGCTCGTATTCCTCCTACCTCTTCCCTCCCCCCCTCTCGTCTTCCCCCCCCCCTCCTCCAGTATCCAGCCCTCTTGATTCTTAAGGGGGCCGGAGGAAGGGGATGGGAGAAGAGTAGGGGGGGGAGGAAGAGGGGGGGGGGGAAAAGGAGGCGGAGGAGGAAAAGGAAGAGGAGGAAGAGGAGGACAACTGATTCCAAGGCGGCGGCCTGCCGTCGACTCGAGGTCCAACAGCCTGCGCCAGCAGCACTGTATTAAACGCTTCACAGGGTGATGGGCAATATATGCAGCCGGCGCCATGTCTCGAGGCCTCGCATTCGACCCCATCGTACTATTTGCAGGGTTGGGATCCACATATTCAAATCTTTTGAGCGTTCCTGCGTGCTCCCGGGATCAGAGGCGTGGATTTTCAACGTCTGGAGGCCTTCCGAGACAGCTCAAGAGCGCAATGTTTGAAAACCGCCAGCGCCCTGCGCTGGTTGCTCCACATCTGCCCGCCACCGTGCCCCTGCACGGAGTGGGGTCAACAAGAATTCCTATTGAGCCTGGACCCCCTCTTTGGGGCTTGCCACCGACGCCGACCGATCGGTCCAGGACGCCCGGGATAGCTTCCCGACGGCCCAAGATAGGCCTCCAAGAGCACTCCCAAGCGGGCCCCAAGACGGCCCAAGAGCCTTCCAAGACGGCCCAAGAAGCCCCCGAGACAGTTCCAAGAAGGGCCCCCGACGGGAAACCCAGCCCTCGGCCCCGAGAAGCCCATCCTAGGTCCTAGGAGGCCCCGAGATTGAAGCCCCCAAGAGGCCCGCAGGAAGCAGGAAGCACAAAGGGGCCCTCAAGAGGCCCCCAGAAAGCTCCAAGACTCCCCCAAGAGCTCCCAAGAGGCCCCCAAAAGTCGCCCTCAACAGATATTCCTCGAGACCCTGAGCACAAGGTTACCAGAAACACGGCGGGCAAATGCCCTCCCACCGCGATTCGCAAACAAGGGCGCGGCTCACCAGCAGCAGCTCGGTCCCCAGGCGGCGGGGCGCGGCTCACCATCAGCAGCTCGGTTCCCGGGCTGAGGATGCAGGTCGGACGGTCGACGGCCTGCCTCACGAGCTCGACGATGACGAAGCCTGGGTACACCCGAGCCAGCTCTCTTCCTCCTGCTCCTCCTCCTCCTCCCCCCCCTTATCCTCCTCCTCCTTCTCCTCCCCCCCCCTCGTCCCCCTCGAACATCCATCCTCCATCTCGTCGCCCACCCTCCTTCGCATCCTCCTCCTCCTCATCATCATCATTATCCTCGCCGTCGTCGTCGCCGTCGGCGTCGTCATCGTCGCCGTCGTCGGCAATCCTCATCCCCGCCCTTCATCATCACAATCATCCCAATATCATCATCATCATCATCATCATCATAATCATCATCATCGTTATCTGTATCATTACCATAATCATCAGCATCATCATCATCGTGATCGTCATCGTCATTGTCATCGTCGTCATCGTCATCATCATCATCCTCACCATCATGATTATCATCATCCTGTTCCTGTTCCTGTTCCTTTTTCCCCGTGCTCTTTCCCCCTCAACCGTCGCCCTTGCCCTCGTCGTCTCGACCGTCGTCCCCCATGTCCTCCCCTCCCATTCGTCTACTCATCATCCCCCTCCTGCCCCTCGTCCCCCCTATCACCCTCGTCCCTATCATCGCCCTCCCCCCTCCTCTTGTGTTCCCCTCCCCTCCCCCTCGTTCTCGTCCTTGTCCGCCTTCTCCTCCTCCTCCTCCTCCTCTGTCAGCCTTCTTCTTTTTCTTCTTGTTATTCTTCTCCTTCTTCTCCGCAGGCTGCTCGTCGAAGGACGCCTTCCACGGGGCCTTGAAGGGCTTCTTTCCCTTTCCTTTAGCCTTTGGCTTTGCCTTTGCCTTTGGCTTTTTTGGCGCTGCCTGCGCGACCTCTACCTCCTCCGCCGACGAGTCGCTCGAACTGGTGCTGGAGCTGTCCTTGTCCTTATCCTTTTTCTTATCCTTGCCCTTCTCCTTTTTCTTATCCTTGTCCTTATCCTTGTCCTTATCTTTTCCAGCGTCCTTGTCCTTATCCTTGTCCTTGTCTTTTGCCTTTTTCTTATCCTTCGACTTTTTCTTTTCCTTCTCCTTATCCTTTTTCTTATCCTTGTTCTTGGCTTTGTCATTCTTCTCATTTGAATCGCTCGAACTGTCATCCTTCGACTTCTTACTAGACTTCTTCTTCTTCTTAGTCTTCCTTTTTCTGTTGTCAGTGTCAGAGTCGTCGTCATCTTTCTTGGAAGTCTTTTTCTTTTTCGTTGGTGGCTCGTCGCTGCTGCTTGAACTCTGTTTTTTTTGTCGTCGTCGACCTTGACCTTCTCCTTGTGCTTAGCGTTCTTGCCGCCCTCGCTGCTCGAGTCGTCCGAGCCGGTGCCCTCGTCGGACTCAGCCTCGAGCTCCTCAATGGCGCCCTTGTCGCTGTCCTGCTCCTCGGCGCCCTGCTGGCCGATATTGCCCTCCACGGTCAAGTCCGTCTGCTTCCTGGGACCAGAGAGCGCTGCCCCGCTCCTCGTCAGTGCACGTCCACCGCCCGCGGCCCCGATACTTTAATGACTGGGTAAGATCAGGGACACTGGGCGCCAAACGTGCAATGAACGAGTTGGGCATTCGCGCACCCCTGGTGCCTCGTGCCATGTCGCTCGAGCTTGCGAGTGTAGAAGTACACGATGCACTGCCGCTTCAGGTCCCTCTTCTTCATGTGGTTCCTGGCGCAGAACTTGGCGTGCGTGTCGACGTGCGCCTCATCCTTGAAGACGTCCATGAGCTGAGGCTTGCTCAGCCACTCCCCCTCCGAGGACGACTCAGACCTCAAGAGAAGGGGAAGATTGGAACATCCGGCAGACCTCGAGGCGCCAGAGCAAACCTTGAACCTGAATTTGTTACCCCCTGACTTAGGACACGTGTGCGGGGAAAAAGCCTACTGCCGGTTCAAAGCCTACTGCCGGGGCCCCTGATTTAGGACACGTGTGCGGGGAACCCCGCTGACCACATGCTCTTGCGAGCCCGCAGGATGATGCCTGCGGACCCGAAGCAGCGGTCAGCCTTATCCCAGAGAGCTCTCATGTCCCTCTTGACCTTCAGGGTGAACATATACCCCCTCCTCTTCCTCCTCCTCCCCCTCCTTTTCCTTCTCGTCCCCCTGCTCGACTTACGTCCTGGTCCTTGCCCACCTCTGCTGATTATGCTGCGGCCCACAATGCTCCCGCTTCTGTAATCCCAGTCATCCTGAGACCTCCGACGTCGTGATCTGTTCAATTCCAGGGCTGTTGATCCAGGGGGTGTCTTCGGGCCCCAGTGCCGCCGGAAAGTGATCCGGGGCCGATCCCCTGGGGAGGGGTCGATAGTTCCACGGGGTCTGCATTGCGAGGAAGTCACGACGTCGGAGGTTCGAGGAGGATCGGGATCACAGAATCAGGAGGAGGAGGCGAAGACGAGGGGGGGGGGAGGAGCCCGCCGCCCCCTTCCCGCGCAGGACTCCTGCATGATCCCCCTGGGTTTCCACGAGGACGCACCCGCCGCCGCCCCCTCCACCTCCCACCTCCCCCACCTTTTCCTCCTCTTGTTTATTTCGGTCGGAGTGTTGGAGGTCGAGGCCCACGAGAGGCCCCCTAAGAGACCGCTGCGGTACCAGGCGGGGAAAAGGGAGGGCCCCCCCAGCTTTCTTCCACCCGATGGGGAAGGAAGGAAGTACGAGGAGGATGAAGAGGACGGGGTACACCTTGAGAGTCTGTGAGTCCCTGTACGTCTTCACGAACTCGCGGCCGTTCGCGTCGAGCTGCAACCTGTTCTTCTGGTGCGCTTTGAGGTGCCGCCGGAACATTTTGTCCCTGTTCTTGACGAAAGTCTTGTCCTTCTTGCTCCTACGAACGCACGACAAACGCGTCAGCCTTCAAAGCCACGCGACTTGCGGCCCCCGTTGGAAGACGGGGGGGGGGAGGATGAGAAAAACGAGGAGGACGAGGGGGGGGAGGAGGAGGAGGAAGAGGAGGGAGGACGAGAAGGTGAACGAGGAAGAGGAGTATGGAAAGGCGTAAGGGCAGGGGGGCAGAAGGAGGAGTAGCAGCAGCAGCAGCAGAAGCAGGAGCAGGAAGAGAAGGAGAATACGGGGGAACGGGGGTGGATGAGGATGAGGATGAGGAGGAGGAGGAGCAGCAGCAGCAGCAAGACGATGAGAAGAATAATGGAAAAGAGGGGAAGAAGAGGCGGATCGCGGAAGGGGGGGGGGGCTCGGAGGAGAAAGGGTGGAGCGGCGGGGGCGAGGGCCGCGAGTCGCGCGGCTTCAAGGGCGCCCGTTTCTTGCACTCAAGCCTCGGCCCCCGCTTCTTGGGCAGCTCATCCCCCTCCCAGGGGGTGATGTCCATGGCGGCGGATCGGAGTGCGTCTGCGCAACTTGAGCGATTGGGGGGCCCGCTTATTAATCGATGGTTGGGGGCCGTTTGGGCCCCCAAGCCCGCCAGTGACCAAGGGGCCCAAGCGGCCCCCGACCATCCCCAGAACGAGTCTGAGCCTCGAGCAATAAGCAGAGCCCCCCTTCCCTTCCCCGTCCGCGCTCTGCTGGAGCCCGGCTGCGAGAGACTGTGAAGGTGGACAGGGCATTGGGCGAGCATGGCCGGAGGCCTTGCGTATCGGTCAAGACACGATGTCCCTCGATGGCTTCGGGTATCCGCCGGCGCTCCAACACGCGTGCACCGTTGTCCCTAGGGCCCCAACGGTGTCCCTCCATGTCTCTCGGTGTCCCTTGAGGTCCATCGGTGTCCCTCAGTGTCCCTCAGTGCTCCTTAGTGTCTCTCGGTGTCCCTCGGTGTCCGTCGACGTTCGTCGATGTCCATCGGTGTCCCTCAGTGCCCCTTTCATGCATCTCGGGGTCCGTCGGTGTCCTCGGTGTTCATCGGTTAAATATCTCTGGGCGTCCCTCCTTGTCCGTCGATGTCCTTCGGTGTCCCTCAGTGTCTTTGATTGTCTCTCGGTGTCCCTCGATGTCCGTCGGTGTCCGTCGATGTCTCTCGATGTCCGTCGGTGTCCGTCGATGTCCGTCGGTGTCTATCGATGTCCGTCGATGTCCCTCGGTGTCCGTCGATGTCTCTCGATGTCCGTCGGTGTCCGTCGGAGTCCGTCGGTGCGCATCGGAGTCCGTCGATGTCCGTCGGTGTCCGTCGGTGTCCGTCGGTGTCCGTCGATGTCTGTCGATGTCCGTCGGTGTCCGTCGATGTCCTTCGATGTCTATCGATGTCCGTCGGTGTCCCTCGGTGTCCGTCGATGTCTCTCGCTGTCCGTCGGAGTCCGTCGGTGTCCCTCGGTGTCCCTCAATGTCTCTCGGTGTCTCTCAGTGTCCCTCGGTGTCCGTCGATGTCCGTCAGTGTCCGTCGGTGTCCCTCGATGTCCCTCGGTGTCCCTCAGTGTCCTTCATTGTCTCTCGGTGTCCCTCGGTGTCCGTCGATGTCCGTCGATGTCCGTCGGTGTCCGTCGGTGTCCCTCGATGTCCCTCGGCGTCCGTGGATGTCCGTCGGTGTCCCTCGATGTCCGTCGGTGTCCTTCAGTGTCCGTCGATGTCTTCCGATGTCCGTCGGTGTCCATCGGTGTCCTTCAATGTCTCTCGGTGTCCCTCGGTGTCCCTCGGTGTCCGTCGATGTCCGTCGATGT